AGCTTGCTCATAACCTTCACCAATCTGTTGGTCAGAAGCTTAGCAATAATTTTGTACAAACAACCAAGTAAACATATGGGCCTATARTCCGAGACGTCCAAGGGATCAATTTTTTTTTGGAATTAGGGCAATAAAAGAAGCATTGCATCCCTTGGATAACCTGCCCGAATTTTCGAAGAAAAAAACCGCCTCAATTATAGACCTGCCAATCACTGGCCAGAGTTTCTTAATGAAATTAAAATTTAGACCGTCAGGCCCAGGAGCTTTYGACCCATCACAAGACCAAGCAGMCTCTTTTATTTCTAAAGCKGAGAAGGAYGATTCCAGGRAATCAGCTTCAAAAGGCGACAATTTAGCAAACAGAGGACTGATGAACTTTGGTCTAGAGAAGCAAGGCTCTTTGAATCTGTCAGCGAAGTGCTGTAAAAAAACACTWTTRACAACCAAGGGATCCGAGTTCCAAACCCCGTCGCAAATAATCCCTTTGATGTTGTTCCTTCTCCGACGATAGTTAATAAAATTATGAAAAAACTTGGAATTTTCATCCCCTTCTAGAGCCCATTTGGAKCGCGATTTTTGTTGGATATTCAACTTTGCTCTATTGTCCAAMAGCATCAGATCAAAGATCCATTCATCTCTTTTTTGGCAATCTATATTTGAAATACCCCCCATTTCAGCTTTAGAATCCCAATCAAATAAGGCTTTGAGAATGTCATCTTTCTTTTTTGATTCATTGGCTAAGAAGTTTTTTGACCAGTTTCTCAAGTCTTTTTTAAGAGCTTTAACTTTTTCCTTTAACACGAAATCAGCATCCCCCAGAAAGGAGCTTGAAGACCAAGAGAAAAGGACCGTTTTTTGAAAATCATCAATACCCAACCATGAATCAAAAACTCTAAAAGGTTTAGGCCCCAAAGAAAGATCATTAACATTCAAAAGAATGGGGCAATGATCGGAAATGGATCTGTGTAAAACCTGCACGGAAGGATTTTTCCAAAAAGAGAAAAAGTTAGGCGTTACCAGGAAACGATCAAGCTTGCTCATCTTAGATAACCTTTTGATTTAAATTTACCTGTTGTATCATGTTTTCGTGTCATCTCACTGACCATGTAGTTTGTCCACGTGTATTATATTGCTGACATGACATTTCTTATTACAACATTAAAATTTCAAAATTATTGTATTACAACATCACCCGTTCATGTTACAACATTGTACTATTAGTTTTGATATTTTATTGTTTAGACATTGCACGTTTAATCAAATATCTTTACCTAAACTTACTGTTCGTTTCCAAACCTAAATTTTAATTAAAAGTTTTAGTTTCCCAAAATCGAGATTATAATGGGTATCTTTTTTATTTGAACTAAGATGACATGTCATAAGTTATCAGGTTTTCATGACATGTCATTATCTATATGCGATGTGTACGTGCAAGATTTACAAAACATGTCATGCACATCATCTCATTTAAGCCAATGAAACAAATAAAAGTAAAAGATTAACCGGTTTAAAAGGTAACAGATTATCTATTACAGATTTTTAAAAGTAAAATATTTTAACAAAAATATTTTACTATAATTTAAAAAAACAATAATAAGAAATTTTTAAAAAATAGGTCGTTTTTTAACCCAAAATTTAACATGCTCCGTCCGCACGAACCAAAAGCGCGCTGAATCGTTCGACAGCATCGTCCCTCTTCTCGTCGCCTGCTCGATTTGTCTCTCAGTCAACTGTTATCTCTCGCTTCTAATTGCAGGTATGTGAAACACCAGAAAGAATCGAATATATAGATTTTCTACTGTGTATTTTAGAAGTTCTATATAATATATATATATATATACACATATATGCGTAGGCTCACACATTCACGTCTGTTTTATTGTGTTTGTAGCTGCTCTCCAACTGTTTGTAAAAATGCTTTACCAACAATTCGGTGTTTCGATTTCAATTAGTTGCGTTGTTTTGATTCGTTACGAAGTTCCCATTTCGTTTAATTTTGGTCTGTTGGGTTTACTTTTTATGCACTTGCTCGGTTTCCGGAAAAGGTACACTACTCTTTGGCGGGTCAGTTTCATGTGCAAAATCGACATGAAAGTTGAAACTCTCAGGAAAATCATGTAAAATAGAACAGATTTTGCATTTGGAAAAAGCATACTTCAACAACCATTTCGTTCTTGTTTGTTTGTTTGTTCTTTTTGCATATGAAAATTTTGCACTTGAGCTTCAATTTTGATGTGGAGATGAGTGAGAAATACTCACCTTTTTGTAACTTGTAATATCTGAGGCCAACCATATGAATATAGCCCGCTTTGTCCACTGGGAACGGGACTGGTGTGCCAGCGTCCTCACTGGCCTCCCAAGGACTAGTAGCATGAGCAGAAACATGGTTGTTAAAAATGTGAATAATTTGTATCCTTTTTGCATCTGGTTACCATCTTAAGTCTTAACATGCTAAGGGCTTGTTTGGTTGGTTTTTCATTAAGTCTTGTATGGATAAAGTTGCATGTGTGGATTAATAAGTCTGTATAGATTGGGATGGTTTTTGTTTGAGAGGGTTTTCTCATAGATGGATGGAGCATATTCTTTTATTGGGAGGGGCAGGTTTCGAGAAAACTTTGGCTTTATGCATAAAGCTCCACCTATAAGCTTACTGAATGATCCACTTCCGATATCATTAAGCCGCAACCAAAAAGTCATGTATAGCTGATCAAATAAGCTGCGAGTCCCATTAAGCTGCTACCAAACAGGCCCTTAAATATCTTTTCCGAAGGAGTGAGAATTTAGATTGGAAAGATTGCATACTCTTTTCTTTTCACAGAGGTGAGACAAGCACTAATTTCTGATTAATTGATTGACAGATGAAGTACATGAAGCCTCTCAACTTGTACCAGGACTTACTGAAGCTGCATGCTGTCGAACGAGGGCGATTGCTTGGTTTGGATGTTGGGGATAAGTATGTCGGTTTAGCGGTTTCAGACTTTAACAATAAAGTTGCTTCGCCTTTAAGGTATGAACTTGTTGCAAGTGCACACTCATCAACAAAATATGTGTTGTTAGGCAAAGACGGACCTAGAAATTTTTAAGTGGTGGCACCATTTGACCATAAGAAACAAATATAGGATATTTTTCACATAATCATCATTAGTCTGTTGGTTAGTTCATTGCTTTTCATATGTGAAGTCTTGTGTTCAAGTCTTTTCTTGCACAATTTTTTTTTCAGAAACATAATAAAAATTTGAAATTAAAAGCTAAAAACTAAGAAAATGACACTAACGTATTAGAACTGGGGTCTGGGGTGGAAGAAAAACCTTGCAAACCAACTCTATCAAGGGAAACTTGTATTCTCATTTTAGTTCCAAAACATATACAGTGGGACACAACAAATTGATCCGGTTGCACTTTTTATGATCCTATAATTTTTTACGCTAAGACGGAGGAACGAAGAGGTGGCCTGTGCCAATGTATCCAATACACTAGGTCCGTTCTGGTTGTTAGGTACCTTAGATTTGAAGTTAGTTGGGGTTTCCCTTGTTATTAACAGTTTAACACTAAATGATTCCCTGGTTGTTATGATATCTCGGTGATGGAAAAGAAATTTAATGCAACTACTATTATTTTCTTAAGATTTGTGTTTTTCAGCAGACTGTTTTGAGTTTCGACATAGAAATTGAGATTGTAGCTCAAATAAATAGCATACTAATTCATGTGATGTTTGATATCGATGTATATCAATTTAAAGTGCATGGGACAGCTGGATGGAACAATGCTTTCTTTGGTAGGGACTCTACTAGAAGACTTGACCTATTACTGTCAGATGTGTCATTGTATTGGTGCCTTTGGTAATTAGTTGATGTGATTATATATTGCATTGATACTAACAAGATTTGGTACGTCGGTTTAGATAGAAGGTCCTTGTGAAGGTCGGATATTGAAGTATTAATGTTCTTTAAGCAACTTATATGGGTTATAGAGGTTATAGGCGTTCCTTGTATTTTAGAGATCATGTTGAAGACTTGATGTTTGGTTTTGTTTTCCCTTCCTTATTGTGAGAATCTTCTCATTTCCACATTCTTTTATTGCTGCAAAATGACAAATGCTTCTATATTGGTATCTTCTTCTATATATGATCATGTCGCCCTACCTACCAATTCGTGTTTAGTGCTTATTTGCAATATACGTGAGATAACCTTGGTTATTTTACATTCTGCAGTGTTCTGGTTAGGAAGAAAAACAATATGGGTTTGATGGCTATTGATTTTCAAAATCTGGTTAGTTTGCCAACTTCTCCTTATGCAGAACTCAAATATTCTCTATCATGTAATTTTGCTGGATTTTAGCTCCTCATGTAGGTCCTTGTAGTCACCAAGCCAAAAATGGATTATTGTAATCTGTGATAGCTTTGATCTTCTTTAAGAACTTAAATGGATTCTTTTTACGTGGTCTAGTTTACAACAATCTAAGATATCTTTATAGTCACCAAGCCAAAAGTAAGGGCAACCAAGTTGCATCCAAGACACCTCAGTCTTGCAAGGTTTGGGGAGGGAAATTTTTTATGCAGCCTGCTATTTCATTTTGCTGCTCGGACTCTTAACCATCTTGTCACAAGGAGTAAGAGCATCTCCAACAACTATGCTATAACATATGTTAAAATAGAAAAAAGAAAAAAGAGTGTAGAAATCTCCAAATTTGGAGTAATCTCTAAAACTTCATATTTAAGAGAGAGAGAGAGAGAGAGAAGTGATATTTAATTCTTTTTCACCAATACCAGACACTAATTAAGTGTTTATGAGAGAAAAATAATATTTTATTAAACGTATTGAATATTTTAACAATATAATTAATGACAGAATTGCTAAAATAGAGCAGCTAGGAGTTGGATGTAATTTTTTGTAGAGATTTTAACTTTTGATACTCTATTTTAGAAAAATTAAATATTATAGTTATTGAAGATGATCTAAGCTTTCCAGTTTCTCTAAGGATTCCCCTTGGATATCAAGCAAAAGGAAGAGGAAAAAATTGCTTTCGCGTTTTCTTTTGCCATAAAAACGAGATACTGTTCTACTTGCGTGCAAGATGATTACTTGAACATTCTCATGCAATTTTCTTGTTTTGGGTGGAAAATTGGAAAATGAATTGTATCAAGTTGAAGTGGGCATGCTTGAGAGGAAGGTAAGCTACCTTCCGCCAAATTGAAACGACCTTTGAACACAAAACATTGAAATACTCAAATAGACATCTCTCGAGTTGTAATGTATGACTTGCAACATCGATGTCAAACACCGGAAACACAAAACCATCGAACAAGAAGCTTCGAAGTTGTTTTAATTGTATTGCTAGTGCAATTGGTTTTTCTCTTCCTTTTTTTTGGCTGTGAGAAGGTTCTATTGCTGATAATCGCTGTTTACAACTGCAATTATTTTCCAAATTTTCAATATGTTAAACTAGATTTTCTTAAGAAGTCCATTTCTGCTGACTGCTGTAGTGACATTCTGTAAAGGAATCCTGTACTTTCATTAAGCATCGCAATAAATAGTTGATGTTGCTCTTTATTATCTACATAGAATAAATAGTGACGGTATGCTTGCCTTCAATTGGATACATGTGCTTAAAGGGTCATTTCTGAAGTTTGAGTCAACTGAAAGTTTATTCTCGTTTTTGCATGCAGATATCAGAACTCTCCCTGTCAGCCTTTATTGTTGGATACCCATACGATAGGTCAAGAAAAAGCCCAAATGTGAGTTTTTATTTCAAAAAATTGTAGATTCACCTTCTCATTTGTTCACTATGGAATTCATGATTTATTTTTCGTTTCTGTTAGGCTACCCAAGTGAAAGTATTTGTTGATGACCTCTGTAAATTAAGGAAATTTGAAGATGTACGGTATACCTTTTGGGATGAATGCTTCACATCAAAGGTATGTGCTTTTGTGTGTATGTGAATTTGTATTTCTCAAGATTGAGAATTTTCAGTTGTTGCTACTCATCTCTTGTCAACTCCAAATCTGTTACTTCGGAGAAGCCAAAAAATATTTAACTAGCCTATCTTATGCCCCTTCCTCCTAGCTCCAGTTATCTAAGTTGAATTGATGTAGGATATGGTAGAGAAGGGTTACATACTGGGGGAGAAGTGCAAAAGGGGGCAAAAGATGAGAAATAAAACATGTCGAAAGTGTCCACGAAAGTGAATTTCAAACATAAAACCACCAGTCACTCTTCATCAAAATGATGGGGGATACATCAATATACATAAGAGACTAGAAAATTATTAGGGGCTGTTTGGTTGGTTTTCCATTAACTCCTATATGGATAAAGCTCTATGTGTGGGTTAATTTATTTGTATAGATTGGGAAGGTTTTCGTTTTGCAAGGCTTTTTCATAGATGGAAGTAGCGTGTTTTTTATTTGGGAGGAATAGGTTTGAAAAAAATCTGGCTTTCTGCATAAAGCTCCCCTATAGAAGCTTACTGGGTAAGCAATTTTCTATATCATTAAGCCACTACCAAACAGTCATGTATACCTGACCAAATAAGTTGTGAGTCCCGTTAAGCTCATTAAACTGCTAACAAACAAGCTTATAGAGTTCTAAACCTAGTAGAACTAATGCATATAAATGGAAGCATCATCTTCCGCTTATAAATATAGTTTTTGATATTTATCTCACAAATGTAAGCTTGTTTTGAAATTTTCAGTCGTATCACAGTAATCACATCTAGGCTTCTGGCTAAACCAAAAACCATTGTTATCTGCACAGTTTGCCAGCACTCATCTGTTAAATATGACTTTTCTTGTAAGTTTTAACTATGGCATGATTATAGTTCATGTGCTTAAGTTGGTGTAACAGAATGTTGAGCTATTATTGAAGCCATTGAAGTTCCCTACAACAGAAGCAAAAACAATAACCGACAAATTTGCCGCTGTCGGAATACTGCAGGTGTTATTCTTGCACTGCCTCAAAAATTCTGCTGCTTTTGCTTTAAAATCCTTCATATGTTATGCCAAGATTAATGATGTGTAAAATGTTGGTTAAATGCTTATAAACATTGTTTATGGAGCAAGTTCTTTTTAAATAAAAATCAGGAAGATGGGACAAATTTGATAAATTACTAAACTACCCATATCAACTTAAAACCCAAAAACCTTGCACAATACTTTCACCACAACCCGCTACCTCATCCTCGTTTGTCCAGTTTTGGCTGCAAAACAAACGCACCTTAGATGGGAATTCATTGATCATTTGTGGGTCTTTGGCAGGGGTATCTCGACTACGTGAACAGGAATATTGCAACAGAGCAAGGCCATTGAGCTTCTACTTCTGGACTATAATTCGATACTGAATGCAAATCCTACCACAACAGTACGCAACTATGAAATAGTTAGATTTTGTACTTACTGTTATTCGGTATTCTGAAAGCATATGACAAGAAGATGTGGGTTAGTTTTAATTGTAATTGTGGTCAGAATACTTGTAACGAGGCCATTATGAAGTATTTACTCATGGGCAGGGCAAGTATTTCTAGTTTGCATGGTCTAACTATTGATCCCAAAAATTTCTACAATAACTTCAGGAAGGTTGAATAAAAATGAATAGAATATGATAAAATATGAGAAAGTAGTCAAAACAAATATGAATCAACATGAAGACGATGATTAGTAGATGGTTCGAGAGGATGATCAGTCACACTAGGATTGAGACATGGCCAGGCTTACCTAGCCAACTCTTAGATCCAACTCTACCCAAACTTTTCTGGTTCACCCTAATATTCCCCAGTTGGATATTCGAGAGAGAGAGACTCGTTAATTTGAAGAATTAGTTTGAATGGAGCTTGGATCACATCAATAGCTTAGCCTAAGGTCTTGTTGACATTGACAAAAGTTATAATTTGAATTGTGATGGATGATGAAAATGATGGATATACAAATATACTCCGTCGTAAGGCCAATCACATAGATGCTAAATCTCGGTTATATGAAAAGCTAAACTTTGAAATTTATGGTTCGTCACTTGTCACATTAACATGACAAAGCCTTATCATACATAACAAGGGTGACTACTCTATCGGATAAAATCTTACCTGATATGACTTCTAGTTACGGGTTTTGGTATACTTTCCTAAACCATGTTCCCATCATTTTAAATAAGCTACAAACATTATCCAAAACGTTTTTAAAGTAAAAAAAAATCATTTTTGCTTTATAAACATGAATTACTTGTAATTTCAAATAACCAGATAGATGAAATTAAATTTTGAAGATACATGTACTAAAGGCCAAATCAAATACAAACCGTTTAAAAGTTGCACGCCTTACAAGCTAACATTAACCGTCCATGAAGATTATCAGATAATGTGGATTAGATCAGTTCTGTAATTTACCATCAACCTTTTTGACTAATTTGATAACCATCTACAAATTTCAAAAAACACAAAATCAAGACCAAGATTGATATGTAACATTTAAGGATTGTTTGTTTACCTCTTAATAGTTCCATTAAAAGGTGAATCTTGTTTGGCAAAAAAAAATGTTTCTTAATGGTTCTAAAACCCCTGAATGATTTTGTATCACAAATCTCCCTTAACCATTAAGAGCCCTAATTTCATTGTACACAATTACCAAACAATTATATTTCATTTTGCACTATATCATGAGAGTTTCTTAATCATCCTAACCACTATCAAACCATTCAGCAATTGCCAAACAGCCCCTTAGGCTATCTGTATTTGATTTGTCCTCTTAAATCTCCGATTTTTAATTCTTATTCAACCTTTCAACATATTCCATGTAAAATAGAATAAATAAAGGTTTCGGTGCGAGATGTGGAAGTAAAAGCAGCCAACTTCTACACAATAATACCTACCACCTGCCTTCTAAACACTTTGAAAGATTATCTAACAAAATTATGTCTCATCTCGGAACTAAGGTCAAAGTTCCATAACATTCTTAAACAAGAAACAACATGCCACACCTTCATCTATTGTTGCAACAGCTACACGATAAGAACCCGATCAAAGTCAAGCAGTCGCCATGATCTACATCACGTGACGAGATTACAGAAATAAAACAAGCAACCATCCTGCATCCACAGCGCCCTGAAAGCATATACAAGTTCATGAGAAAACCCCAAAAAATGAAAGAACCAAGGAATACCGTTATAAACTATTCATGTGTACGATAATGCACATGTACAAAGTAACTGAAGATGTTTTCTTGTTCTAATGCATGTATACATGCTACACATATTTGCATACTGTACAAATTACTTGTATGCATATGTCTAAACCATGCAAATGAATGGTTGGTAGGGTGTTCTTCGGTTTCACTTTTTTGTGGTTTTTCCTGAACCTGACCCTCTATATATGATCTCTCAATGTGTGTATATATATATATACAGTTTCTGAGCAACTTGTTAACTTCTTAAAATGCTTAGGCGAAAGAAGAATCAAGATAACAATATATACATTATAAAAGAAACATAAAGAGCAGCTAGACACATTCAAATTCAACAAATAAACATTTGCTATAACAAAGAAAATGAGTTCGATTTTTTGTTAGATTGGTGTGTGCCTCTGTTCTTATTGCCATATTAACTATAGCTAAAATGGTAGAGAAAAAAGCAAGTTAATCAATAGACAAACTAGCTCCCTGACTCCAGAATTGCAAAAACAACACGACCTCTCACTTGACTAAAGGATGTTCATTCCTCCTTCCATCCTAACAGGGTAGTAGCATGTAGTTTAATGAATATTTAACCGATAACCATATGTTGAAAATGCCCCTAGATAAGACAAGATTAAGAGAGAACTTATAGCCCATCAATGTCACAAATTTCTTGCTAATGGAAAAATAGGTGAGTTTGGATTGAAATCTTCCTATAAAAAGAGAATCGCAACTTTTGGAACACAAAATGGAACAGGTAAGATTCATCATCAATATGAAATATAGGATGGGGCCCATAAACATAGCACAAAATATAAAGCAATGGTTCTCAATAAACTACTTTCAATCATCGTTACCAAAACAAAGGAAGAAAAAAACACCAGAAGAACCAAGAGATGCAAATTTCAAAAACAGTGTGTTCCAGTAACTCAATTATTCCGGAAACTATAACGAAAACATTGAACTGCGAAAACATGCAATGCATAGAGAAAGCAAGCAAAGTTTTTAATATAGTACTTACAAATCATTCTCTTCCACTGTCGTCATCAGGGGCTGCTGCTTTGACATCAACAGAAAAGCTATATTCCTGGTCACATCCCATGTAAGAGTCGCACATGAAATATAAAGTAAAGCTTTTCTTCCCGGGTTCACTTGGAGCAGTAATGTTATCAAGTTTGACCTTAGACTTCCTTTGCAACGAAACCCTCTTGATTGCAAGCAACTGGTTAGTTTTGGTATCACCAACAACAAGCCACCATCCCTCCTCTTTCGCTTTAGGATATCTGGGGGCATCCACTGGCCCAACCTCAGTCCTGCCCTCCAAATCCCTTTCGAGAGTCACCAGCAAAGTGAAATCGTCTCCAGCCCTAATGTTATCGCTGTCCAACACGTCATATGACAAATCAATATTAGGGAAACGGTTGCAAAACTTTGCAATATCCATCAGTTGCGAATCAGACATCTGTAATAGCTCCCTTCTTTCGTCATCCTCCATTTCCACCAAGTCAAACACGGTCTCTATACTCCTTCCAGGGTTTTCTTGACATCTCTTGGCCAAATCTTTTGTAAAATGAGGCAGCTGCAAGAGATTAGAATCTCGCTCCCACATGCCTTGTGTCACCATCTGGCTAACTTCCATAGCAAGAAGAGCTAGGCTAAGCCACCCACTGCTTGAAATAACATCAACCATAGCTTGAAGCAACCTACTAGCAGATAGAAGTACTTCTTGCTGGTCAGAACCTAGATTTCCACCAACCAATTGCCTAGAGAAGTGAGCTTGTATTAGCGCGTTGGCCTTCACATGTGGGTCTGCGTATTTTGGGTTCTCAAAGGAAAAACGTTGATGATTGATCAACCTTCGTATCAAATCCTCTTCTCCAGGGCGTACCGGAAGTTGCTCATACTCGGATGCTGAAGCCAGAATCTCCAAAAGACCCTTCAACTTTGTCTTGCCAGTCAATGAAGAACTAAATCTTTCTATGGTTGTATAACTGATATAATAATACGAAGCAATCATACCAAGATTAACAGGGGTAAGATCAAAATCTTCCTCAATGGTAACACATTTACTTGCTTCCAAATCACTCAACGTGTTCTCCACAAGTTCCGAGAGGTGATCTGAAAGGTGCCTTTGACTGACCCCTTGAAGATTGTAGTAATTTGGGTTCTGGGTGAGCCTCCTGTACATAAACGTCCACGTGAGATAATCAACAGCATCTTGCTTGTTTGCAATCACTTCAACAACCACTTCCGCATTCAAATTATCATGCAGGTGGTGATGCAAATGGCTTTCAACTGGAAATGCTTCAAATAGGAACTTCTTGTAGTATTCCTTACGTGGTGCATGACAAAAGATAACACACTTCCCAGAATTATCCACAAGAGGACGACTGGCATGGCCCATCATCTGAAGAAGATCAGTAACTGGATAATCAGTATGGGCATTTTCTCGCCCATCATAGTATTGTGTTCCCATAACAACCACCAAGTGTGCACGAAGAGAAACTCCCCAACACATTGTACCACTCATGACACATACTTGAATGCAACCAGTTTCAAAGAGTGTCCTAACTATATCTTGGTCGGTAGTAGTTAGACCCTCATGCAGATAACCTACCCCATATTTCAGAGTTTCCTTCAACATGGGTTCCCTAATTCTGTCAATGAACGTGCCCAACTCCTTTTCAGATTGAAGTAAAAACAAAGGCTTCTCTCCATTCTCCGCACCCGAATACGCACTCTCTGCACTCGAGTACGTCATGAGATCCACAGCTGTCAGGCGGGCATGTTTCCTTGTAGGAACAAACACAATGGCTGGTTTTCCATTCTTAGCATGTTGGACGATAGCAGTATACGTGGGTTTAGTCATTGCCTGCATTCTGGCTTCGAAGTTAGCTATGTCTATGCCTTGAATATGAATCTCAAGGGGCACTGGCCTAACACCTGGAGGGAAATTAAAAAGACCATGTGATGTGGCCCCAATCCACTCCCCCAAATCTTTGGCATTTGCAAGGGAAGTTGATAATGCAACTATTCGAATGTTATGACCCTGACTAGCAATGTATCTCATCCTAGAGACTATCACCTCCAACACCGGACCACCTTGACCACCAATCAAATGCAGTTCATCAACAATAAAAAGACTTACTTGCTGAACATGCTTTCGCTGCTTCCAACGGCGAGATAAGGCATCCCATCTATCAGGGGTGCTAATTATTACCTGGCCTCTCTCAAGTAATTTCAAATCTGTTGCCGTTTCCCCAGTCAATTCACAAACTCTCAACCCAAGACCATCTCCAAATTTCTTTTTCCATTCATTATATCGCTCTTTGGCAAGTGCTTCAACAGGAGCAATGTACACAGCACGCATGACGCTATCAGGCCCTTTCTGATGGTTCCTTAAAATTGCAAATTCTGCACATATAGTTTTCCCACTACCAGTTGGTGCAGCAACTAACACATTGTCATCGGTGTTGTACAACACTGTGAAAACCTGAGTTTGGACAGGATTGAAGTGTTTGAATTCTTGATAAAGGGCTTCATATAATGGATTCCTCAAAGCAGTCACAGGGAGTGGCTGCAAGTCCAGCAACTCCGTTGGTGGAGGATACTTTTCTGGTAAAATCAAGTGACGGAAGGAAACAGGCAAAACAGACAAAGACCCAAGCCATCTATCTGAGACGACCTTGATAAAGTACTGAGGAGGCAATGGTTCATAGATTGGGACCGTAAAATTCAAAGTGTGGTCTTCATCAATATACTGCTTCTTCAGCAAGAAATACTCATTATGAAGTATGTATTCCCCATCATTATCTTCTACGATCACCCAAAATGGTTCAACGTACCCATGAATCTTGTCTTCCCACTGAAAATCTGGAGTAATGGTGAGTGCAACCCTCAAGATGGTGCGGGTGATTGGTTGAACATGAGCAGCCAGATTAAGCTTTGGAAACTGGTGAATACACCTATGAAGATTTCTCCCCAACTTCGGGGCACGAACAAGCTCTCCTAGCTCCTGTGACGATAGATCATAATACCTTTCCCATGCCAGATCTTTCTTCTCCAGTTTCATCAATATATCGTTTTTAATCCCATGAAATTGACGTAGAGGGGTTTGGACATTCCAGATCCTCTTGTTAACCATTTTGCACAAGCTCAAGGCTTTCTCAGCTAACTGTGCCCATCCTCTTTTCAACACAATCTCAAAAAGAGCTCGCATAAGACGTCCCGCACTCTGCAAAACCAAAGCAAAAGTTAAGTCAAAAAAATATCTCCTACCCATAAACAATAATTAAAAGTTTCCTGCTTCACTTTCATATACGACAGCAATGTAAAAGAGCTTCACCTCATTGAAAGTATACTCCCTTACAATTATTCCTTGAAAAGGCGAATGGAAGACCTAACCTCTAAACTAACCTCTAAAACATCACAGGGGAGGAAGCATTACATTCCCACAAAACTAAAAACGGTGGCATGCTATATAAAATCACAATGTCATAGCAAATTTAATTTAAGCTTAATAAAATACTTGGCAGGTTATGCCGAGAAAGCTTGCAAGTTATATAGGTTGCTCAGCTTCTAATTCCAATATAAATGCACTTTTGACTTATCTGACTATATTGATAGAGGAAAACAAACAAAACTGCACTAATGAATATGTAAGCATAAAACCAACCTGAGTTATGAACACCATGTCAGATGTCAAAGAAAGTCCTTCAAGCTTTAGCTGAGAAATATATGCTTGGAGCAAGACATTGATCTTTGCGCTGGGCTCTTCCAAACTTTCCTTAATGGGAATAGGAACGCGGTCCAAAAGTTTTGCAAGTTCCATCTTCTCATCTTGTCTTACTGTCACATATTTGAACTCCTCACTGAGTGAAAACAGTCGACAAAGTTCAATATCGCTCATTGTGGGCTTCAAATGCTCATTATAAGTGGCAATTGTTCCATGAGTTATGTAGTAATAACTTGCAATTCGACCCAAATCAGTGACCTGAAAATAGCCACTTTTTCTATCATACTTCACCAGGTTATTTTTGTCCAGTATTGTGGCAGCAGAATGTACCTGCAGAAAATAGCAATAAGCATCAGTCTCTCAATTATTGCCACAACCCTTTACCAAGCAAAATATAAATGTAGCTTTAAATCTTTAAGCCATCACCATCAAACAAAAACGCTTTAGACCCACAAAACTGAGTTCCAATATGCAACAGAACATGTTTAAATATAAGTAGATCAGGCCTATAAGCTAGTCAAGCGATGCATGCCACAATTACAATACTACAAGACCAATCAGCACTTTTGGAAACTTGAATACAATAAATAGGTTTCTATCCTAATTCCTAAGCCAATGCTAAGTTTCACAATTCCAGTATATTCTCGTACTAAATTGCAGTTTAAGCACCAATTAACAGCACTCAACCAGGACAGTAATTGGGTTTTATATTACAAGAACATCAATCAGACCAACAACTTTTACCAATTCAACGAGGCTGCCAACATGGTAAATGCTGAACCAATTTCAGCAACTAAATTGCAAATGCTCAGATGCATCACTCTTGTTGACTATACACTGATGGCACATGATGAATCAGCATTTATTTAACATTTACAACGCAACATCCTGGCTGAAACGGAAATTTGAGTAAATTAATCTCTGTGATGGTTCAAGAATACTTCACTAAGGCTAAAATCTTTTAACAGCCGCAATACCACTTATGAATTGAGATCACAATTCAAGCTCTAAAATTGCAACCATAGTTTTTAGGACTTCTTTTTCCCACAATGTCATCATTGATTAAATGAAGCATAGAATAATTAAAGGCATGTGCAATGAAAATATCAATACACAAATAACAAATTGACAATGAAGCCGCAAACACTGAACAAAGCACTGGGAAATTTTAAAACCAAAATAGTATTGTAGTTGTAGTCTGAAACTTACCAGATCAGCTCTCCGATCCACAAGTAAAAGATCTCTCGTCAGCGCATCAGGAGATAAGCCATAAAGAGTAGGGTTCCGCACCATACGGATGTATAAGTAAGTGTAACCAAGCCAATTGAGGGCTTCTTTTGCATTTTGCACGGTCCCAAGGACTATTTCTGCGTTCAACTGATCAGCCAATTTAGACACGAATTGACTTTCAATAGGGAGCTGTTGATTCATCAGTGAAAGATAGTATTGCAGCTCACTGTGTCCAGTTATGATGATCCCTTCACCGTAAGTATCAAACTGTGGCCTCCCTGCACGACCCAACATCTGCATAACATCCAGAGGACTAAGCTCTGTCCATGCTCCTTTTTCAGGATTATAGATCTGGGTTCCTTTGATAATCACAGTGTGGGCGGGCAAGTTCACACCCCACGCAAGAGTAGCTGTCGAAACAAGTACTTGAATGTGTCCATCAGCAAATAGTTCCTCAACAAGTTGACGGTCAGCCCTGGCCATTCCTGCGTTATGAATTGCAAAACCATAAGGCAAGAGATCCTTGAGATCATTGCTTTTCACCAGCTCGGTGTGTTCATGGAGAATCTCACGGCTTGCACTGTCCTCCTTCAAGAAGATCCCCAGGGTGTCGTTAGCAAGAGCAGTATCCCTAATTGCACAGGCTGTCTTTGTTGTTTCTTTCCTTGAATGCACAAATATAAGCACCTGATGCTTTCCAGCCACACCTATCACCTTCTCGTAACAAATATCATTCATCAATTGAAATCTCTGCAGTGGCTTCTTTACTGTAATTCCAATATACTGCTGAGCAAGTGGGCAAGGCCTGTAACTATTGTCAAAATGAAAGAGACCTTTCTCCAAGTCCACTCGCATAAACAGCGCAACATCATCATAGTTGGGAAGTGTTGCAGATAACCCAACCAACCGAATATGTTCCTTTGTGGTCTCAATTTGTCTAACAGTCCTTGCCACAATACTCTCCAGAACAGGTCCTCTGTTATCATGGAGAAGATGGATTTCATCAATAATTAAAAGCTTCACGAGTTGAGTATAAGTGCGATCTCCTGATTTTCTAGTTATAATATCCCACTTTTCCGGAGTTGTGACTATAATTTGCGTTTCCTCAATCTGTTGCCGGGTCAAAGACTGATCTCCACTCAACTCCATCACAGTGACGCCATAGTGCTTTAGACGATTAGACAAGTTCCCTACAACTTCAGCAACAAGGGCTTTCATTGGTGCCACATAGACTATCTTGTAGTCACTGTGGTTGAACGAACCATCTTCATTCATATGCAAACCTATCTGTTGAAGTATGGTGAGCATAGCAACATTGGTCTTCCCTGCTCCAGTGGGAGCACAAAGTAGAAGATTGTCTGCTTTGAACAGAGCAGTTTCATAAACCTTACTCTGAACTCTATTTAGTTGAGACATTCCTTCAAAAGCCGGTTGCGCCCAGCTTGGCATGGCTGAGATCTTTACAAGCTTCTCATCAGCAGCAAGAGGCTTAGGCTTCAATGCCGGCACATGAACTTCTTCGTATCCCTTGCTGTGGTTTCTGTAAGAGCCTAAAGGAAGCTCACACTTCTTATTTGCCATCAAAAGACCACCTTGGTGAAACGCAATGCTCTCAAGATCAAGCAACTGCCGCTGACCATTTAACCAACCATTCTCAGCATCCCTATCAACAACATCTCTTCGATCTCGGTCACCAAATCCACCACCGCTCTCATCCTTCAACCGCCTTGCTTCTTCTCGTATACTTTTTTCCAAGTTCTTCTGCCTCTCTTTTGCTGTTGCCCTCGTGGCATGCAGTTGTTCCAATATTGCAGCCAAATCAGGACCCAACCCCATCATTTGCTCTTCTATCTGTTTCCTCTGTTCTTGGTCTTCAGCTCTTGCAAGACGGGTACACCACACAATCTTCAGTCTATTACGCAAAAGGTACTTTATCAGGCTGAACTTCTCAAACTGGAGGTGCACCAATAGCTTATTTTCAACTTCGCGGTCATCACCTTCTTCAAGAATTTTTAGTACCTCTTCAGCAAGCTTCTGGCTCTGCTGTGGATCAATCTGCTGCTCATAAGCCTGCGAGATCTTCCTCTGAAGCCAATAAGCATCAATGTCCTGTACATTAAGTGTCATACCCTCATTAGCTTCATGCAAGTCGTCATCATCCACACCCCCACCCATCTGCATACCGTTGTTCCCACCTCTATCTAAAACATCGTCTTCTTCCTCCTCATCATCTTCCTGTACAATATCAAGATCGCTCTCTTCATCATCTTCTTCATTCTCTTCAAATTCGACAGCTACACCAACATCATCATCGAGGGCGTCTTCCCCGCCATTTGCTGCATTTGACCCAGCAACATCACCACCTGCATCCTGAAAATCTGTTATAAGCCTCCCAATAGAAACTAACTGATCAAACACTTGGTTTGGTATAGGGTTCAGCAACTTCTCAATATCCTTCTTCTTGTCTGGGTTCTTCAAAGTATCATTCTTCAGCACAGCCAAGATCTCATCTGCAGCACCACTAACGATATTCAGAGGCTGGCCACCCAACTGCTGCTGGATCACACTGAGCATTGCCTCATATGCAGCTCGAGTTTCTTTCGTCTTGGGCTGGTAGACCCCTTCCTCCGTTGATGTAAGAACACTCTCTTCTTGAAGACGCCGTCTCTTGCTCTGTCTATTATTCACAGCTTCAGAAGAAGGGAGTGATGGTTCACGCTCCTTCTTTTTCTTAGACTTGGTAAGTTTTTCATCCAACTCCGCTGGTCTCCCTCTATAAGCACGGTCACCAAAGCTCTTAGGGTCTATCTTCCCATACAAAGACTCAGGTTCTCCAGTTGGCTCGTGAGTATCTCGTGGCCGAGAATCAGTCGTCAAGACAAGACTTGAATTAGCTCTGTATTCATACTGTTTAAATCGAGCATGTGCCTCAGCACCACCTCCTAAATGTGCCATCTCCAATCAATGGCTTCCGAAATCAAGAAACCCTACAGTCATCAAAAAATAAATAGAATCAGTCAATCAGGTACCGGCCCAACAAAGTCATAAACCCACGTAATTAGTAAATAAACCACTCCCAATATCGATAAACTGTACTTCAAATTTAAAAGAAACAAGTACTATAACAAGAAAGCAAACTTGGACGGAAAAAAAAAACTTCCAAGTGCCTGGATGAAATAAAATTAGGGTTTTAGTTTTGAATCTAATCGAACTGGAACAAAACAGCCGTAAATTCACCGACAATAAGTAAGGGTAATGAAAACTCGAATGAACAACGTGAAGGTGTTTGCCTTTTTGCCCAGACTGTGAAACAAAAACGGTATAAGGTGGGGCTGGGAGTTTTACCCATTTTGGCCAAGAAATCGTACAGCATGCAGGCGCAACTCAGAAGGAAAAAACAGTAGCATTATAAATCAATCCATGTATATAACAGCAAAGTGTGCTCAAACGCCTCAAGAACTCACTGAAAACATATAAAAAAATATTGGAGCTGTGGTGATTCAAGTCTTAAGTGTAGAGGTTCATTTCAACAACGAAGAACAGTTTAAGGTAAGATTGATACCTTTGATTCGAGTTGCCGACGGAGAAGAGGAGTTTTCGGTGGTGGTCGTCACAGTTCGATCGGGAGAAGAGAAATTAGGGTTTTGAATAGAGCTTAGAAAAAGGGGAAAATGATTCATCTGGATAAAATTCGGTTGAATTTGGCTTTTATACGTGGGTCAGCTGTCGGTTCGGACTCTTGGCCGATACGCGTTCTTTTAAAGACTGGCAGTTCCAGCCCTTCAAGTTTCAATTATTGTGCTTAGACCACATGTTTAAAAATGAGACCTAAACTTCAATAAGTCAAGATTTTGTCCCTCAAGTTTGGAATTTACTTTGAAAATGGGACCTCATCACTAAATTTGTTATAACTGTCAGTTAGAGTCAAGGGTATTTTTGCAAAAAAAATTCGTTTTTCCTTTTTTTTTGTTAAAACCACAAAATTATAGGGACCAACTATGTTAACTATAATATATATATATATATATATATATATATATAACACACGAACTCCGACCAATCACCATCGTGACCCACCATCTTCGACGTTAACTCATCACCAACGTGACTCCGACACTCCTTTAACCCATCACCATCGTGAAGGGTCGATTACGCAGAGACCTATCCTTGTTCTCCAGTCCCATCTTCACACCTCTGATTTGGTCCCTATTATGATACACACAGCATCGTCCCTAGTTCACTATGATTTGGTCCCTATTCCAATAAGAACATCATCGTCACACCTATCTTCTTGTAAATCTTAACAAACATAATGTTTTATCATCTCCGCCCACCAAACCCAAACCTACAACTCCACCTCAGCCACAAAACCCAAACCTTCAACAAACACAAGGACGAAACTGCATGGACGATACCACAAGGGCTATACCATAGGGGCCAAATCATAGAGGATGAAACTATATGGAAAATGGTGGGTCATAGTGCTAATGGGTTGCGGTGGTGATAAATTAAAGAGCGTCAAACTAATGTTTGTTACGAGGTATAGCCGGAGATGCAGGCTAAAAATGGTGAGTCATTATGAGATGTCCGGTTGAGGGGTTGGATTAAGTTTCCAAAGTGAGTTTTTGGTTTGATTAGCTTAAAAGGGTTTGGCTTTTAGACGTGGGTTTGAAAACTTTATAATGGATTGTAAAATCTGGATTTTAGTTTCATTGGTTTTGATTTGGTTCGATAGTTTGGTTCATGCCGGTGGTCGGTCTGGTGGCAAAGAGGGGGGAGAGGGTCTAGGCCTCTAGGGGTTGGAATGTCAGAGTTTGGCTGGAGTTGTTTTGGTCCTTGTGTAAACTCATACTTGTGTGTATAGTTAATTACGTAGTTGGTCCTTGTAGTTTCATGGTTTTCATAAAATTATGAAAAAAACATTAAAAATGACAAAAAGATAGGAAAATATGGTTGGACGATTTTACCCCACGCTTTAACGGACGTTTTTAGCGACGTTAGTAACCATGTCCCATTTTCAAAGCAAAATCAAAACCCGAGAGACGACATCCTGACGTATTAAAGTTTAGGTACCACTTTCAATTAAATCATCAAACCTCATGGACCAAAAGTCAATTTTACTCAAATTTTAAGGTAACCTTAGTTGTGTAAAACTTCTATTTGAGTTGTAATGTTTTAAGAATGATTATTTGAGCCCTAATGTTTTAAGAATTGTTATTTGAGCCACCAATGGAACTGAAACTATTTGAGGATTTATCTAATTACTTTTTCATTACAAATAGTTAAATATTTAAGGTGCGGATCGGATAAGGGAAGGTTTTGTTAGGAAACCAGAATTGATTAGGAATTCGGGAACCACCAACAAAACGCCACGTATATTTATCATAAATAACACATTTACGATGAATATTTATCATAAATAACACATTTACGATGAATATGGAAGTGTTATTCATCATTAATCACATATTCATGATGAAAATAAAAGTATTATCCATCATTAATCATACATTTATGATGAATATGTTACAACATTCATGATGAATAACATGTCCATGCCCCTAATGAATATGTCATGTATCGTGATGTAGGCGTGTAACACCCGTGATTTCAGAGCCTTCACCTGGAGTCTATTTGAGACCGTTTTGGCATTCAAAATGGTAAGGGAATGAGGTTTTTATATAATTTTTATACTAAAAGGATTGGGATCGAATCAAATGTGAAAAACAAAAAAATGGCGCAAAATAGAGGTCCACTTGGCCATGGTCACACAACTCACTGGAACGTACCCATAAGGAGCTCAATGTCGTAGGAAGCCTCTGTGTACTTTAAAAACACGGTTTTTCTAAGATTTTGAGCATATCTTCCAAATTTCCTTTTCCTCCAGCCATTCTGGACGATTTTGGAAGACTAAGGTACATCTATTGAGCCCTTTAAGGTGAAGATTTATTACTTGGTAAGTTTTTAAGATATTGGAAGGTTGGATCTCATATTCACCTCGTCTACATCAACCTCCTAATATTTGGGTCCGATTTTGAGCATGTATTGGGCCTTTTGAAGGTTCTTTGGGAGCAAAAGAAGCCATGTACTCAGGTGGGTTGCGTGTCGATCTTATCTAATTTGTTACATTTCATTTCGGAATTTGTGATTTATTGTTGGGTTTATGCAACCTCAAACTGCAATGAAAATAGATCTCAATGCAAATATACATCTTGAACTACTATCGTCTTGTTAACAAGTAATAATGGTATAAGTACCAGTTATCGTTTCCATAAATAATGCTTGTAAATCTTTTCAAAATTTCAGTTTTTAAAAACTAATTTCAGATAGCGAATTCAAAAAATCTTTATAGTGAGTGAGTCACAAAGGATAAAATCCAATGTAATACCATAGTGATAGATCAATTCCAAATCGTAACCAAAAATCAAATAAACTTCATAAAGCCGAAAGTAAGAAAGAGGATAGATGAGCTTGAAAATATTCGAACTTGAAAATAACAACGAGATTAGCAACTAACAGTTTTCAGTTATTGGAAAGCAAGGAACCCGAAAGGATAAACTATAAAGCAAATAAATTATAGGGAGACAAAAACCCAAAAGTCAATGTATATTTAAAGCTTACAAAAGGGTCCTATTTATAATATTATGAAGAGTAAGCTCAACGCTAAGAGGTACAACAATATTATTCATGGATGATGCAAAAGTCCTTCCTTGGTTACCAGGTGTTCAAAAATCAACTGATTCAGCCTGGCCTAAAGTGAGGTTGGAAAGAAGCTTGCTGCTTGGTCCTCCGAAAATACCACAACACTTTAATATTCCTGTAGCACTATTGTAGTATCGGCTTAAAAGTTTCAAAAATCTGCATAAAGCCCAATACAGTATAAAATTATAACAAAAATCTAATAATTCATGTCAAACTCTAAAATTGATAAAAATGATAAAAGACAAACTAAAAAAAGACTCGAAGTTGTACTATGGACAGATAAAGTAAAAGAAAAAGGTTATAAAAATAGTGAAATAAAATTAATAATTTAACACTTGTCATGATTTAAATAATATTCTTTCCGTTTTACCGATTTATAAAAATGATGAAAACTGTCTGAACTTACTTGATGCTAAGCTTAATTCTTTTTATTTGTCGACATGTGCATCAAGTCCTCGTTGCGGATGGTACTAGCGACACTTTGATAAGATGAGTGCTAGTTACAGGCACGAGGAAGATATAGTCACTCGGGGACGTCTTTCGTGTTTTGGAATAATGATCGTGTTTGGGTTTTTAGCAACACCCCGACCCTGACTTAGACTTTATGTAAGATTTAATTTATCAATATTGTTGTTGTTTAATCTATAATTGTTATCCAAAAAAATTAAATTAGTTGTTTTTTAGATTTGAGGGTGTTACATGGTCGTTTCCAGTGTTCTTGGTCAACTTTAGGTTCCTAAAGAAACCTGCCTCCGATAAGACACATATTAAGTTTTCGTTGCAAACGTATGAAGTGAATTATGGGATAAATTAAGAGTTGGTTTGAAATTTTAAACATACATATCGTTTCAAGTGGTATTGTAACATTAGTTAAGGCGAACTAGGTTGGTGATGTTTCACCTATATGCGAGAAATTAGTTAATGATGTTACTTAAAAGTTAAGTATTTTAAATAAGATTATAAATTATAGTTAATCAGTGTAAAACCCAAAAATTTCGAAGAATAAATAATTTATCTTCATTATTATTCTTTTTTTATATTATAAAATACACACACGTACTTATACTTATATATATATATATATATATGTTAAATAAATATAGAAATTAAAAGAAGTTTAAAAATCGGACTAAAGATGAAAGAAAAAGTCAAGACATGAGTGAAAATTGTAAATTCGTGATAGTTAAGGGGGTGTGTCAGGTGTTAACAGGTCTAAACCAGAAGGACCTGTAATGTAATTATGCCATTTTCTGATTTCTTGAAAGAGATGGAACGATGCCAACTTTGAGGCTTCCTATTGGCTCGTTCGGTCAACCAATAAGCCAAAAAAAAAACCAGGAATATGTAGACAACGTTTCTTTCTACAGTTTTCATTCAAACTTTTTGAGATTTCGTTGATAATCGAGAGAGAAATCGGAGCTCGAAAGTCCCCATCCGAAATCTTCATTTTTCGTCGATTAGAGGTAAAATACTCAACTAAAATTCATGTTCTTTATATGGTTAGCTTTGTTTTTTAGTTCTCTATAGACCCCTAGTAGCCTCAGATTTGGTGTTTTATGGTTCGATTTTGAAGTTTAAAGTTTCGTTCGATTTAGTTTAAAACTAAAACTTTAAATGAGAAAATGAAACTTATTTCTTGACGAAAAATTATTTTCTTTATGTCAAAATGTTGGTAAAAATATTACCAAGGTTTTAACACAAAAAGAATGAAGAAAAAAGATTAAAAAAAAGGTCAAATCGAAGGTTGAAATGGTGAAAAAACGCAGCCATGACTGTTGTGGGCGTGTTGGGTTTTTGACCCATTAAAAAAATAAATGTAGGTATATGTGAGAATGGGGGTCAAACCCATGACCCCTTGTTGATAAAGGTTTGCATTAACCACTTTGATAAAAAATCATTTCAAGTTAATTAGGATTAGAAATTTCTTATATCTAATAATTAACTGACTTTTCTTAATAAAATTTTATT